GGGGGGGGGGGGGGGGGGGGGGGGGGGGGGGGGGGGGGGGGGGGGGGGGGTGAGGAGAGCCAGTGGGGCCAGAGGAACAGGGAGGCAAGAAAAAAATGACGACGAAAGGAAGGAAGCAAACGGTCAACAGACAGACACGGGACAAGGACTCTAGTGTGGTAAATTTGCTAGTCCAGCGGGGGAGTGTCAGATGCACGCACGCGCAAGAAGAAAAGACGAATTGAGCACGGATCCATCGGCGGTAGATGGCACACACATATACACGTGTTTGGCAAAGGAGGCGATCGGACGAGCGAGGGACCCCGAGGAGGAAAATAGCGTTGCATCGTTTCGTTCCCACTCCCTCCCCCCGTGCCGATAACACGACAACGCCACTATCACCATCACCATCGTCACCACTAACAACCCCACCACCTCCACCGCCAACACGCGGCGACGACAACAATAACGATGACGACAAGAACAAGAACAAGATCAAGAACAAGAACAAGAACAAGAACAAGAACAAGAACAAGAACAAGAATAAGAACAAGAACAACCACAACAACAACAACAACAACAACAACAACAACACTAGCACCACGCACAGCAGTTGAGCGGGGGTTTCACTTTCCCCCGCTCGCCCTCACCATTCTTCCCCGCCCTCGCAAGCGACAGACTCCCCTCCCGTCGCGTCCTCCGAGAGCAAGTCGCACGTCAACCCAAGACCTTCGTCTCCCTCAGGACAAGACACGCAGCCGTAAGGACAGACGTCACCCCCGTGGCCGAGCTAACAAAAAAAAAAAAGCGGGAAGGAAAAGGGAATGGCCCGGTGGCAGGAACACACACGCCCAGGAACAAACGAGAAAGAGAGCAATGCCAGACGGCTAGCTATCAGGAGCGGCGGAAGAGCGATGTGGTTCCTCGATACTCACATTTTGTATTAAAACACATGTTATTATCTACTCGATTGGTCTTTTTATTGCCTCGTGCGTTTGTTGCTTGTTCGGTTCTTTCGCCTTCTTTCAATAAAAAACAGCAGCGGTGGGTTTGTTTGGCCTTTGCTTAGAATAGCACCGAAGCGATCGAGAAACGGCAAAAAAAAAAACACACACACACACACACACACACGCCACCACGACGTGCCGCCTACCTACTGTGCGTGCTCTCTGTCTCTGCACCCGCATTTCACTGGCCAGACAGGGGAACATTTGTCCGCCTTCCGAGTGTCTTTTTTTGGAACGAGTGCCTTCCTTTGATCTGACGGATTGACGAACATCTAGCCGGTCGATGGGCGGGGGACGTCATTTTTCTAGCTACGATTGCGGCTGCTGTACGCAGAAATGCTTCTAAAGCGATAACGATGCCCTCCCCCGTTCCCCTGCACCAGGAGGCACAACCACACGACGTGCTATGCGCCAGAACAACAGCAGGACAGTATTCACAATGGGCGCGCAGCACACGATTAACTTAGAAAGGGGGGAGGCTGTACGGCGCGAGGGGTGGCAGCAGTGGGGGGGCTGGTGCCGCTTGTTGCCGGCCGGGGCTCCTTCTTTTGCCGACAAACCACCAGGGCCTCTTCTTTCTGCGCAGCACCTTCAATCCTGTGGCGTTCTTTTGCCGTCATACGAACCCCATTCTATCTCTCTACGCGAAGAAAAGGGTCGGGTGACCCGGGGGGGGGGGGATCGTGACTCTTTATCGCAAACCAA